ACACAGCTGGTCACAACAAAATAAGAAACACACTTTAATAAATAATCGTAAAGGTAGAAATGATCAACTTTATTATCTTGTCCAGACCTGCATGCAGCCTCTCTCTCTGTTCAGGCCTGAACTGCAGCTGTGCTGCTCTGGACTCTTTATTTGCTCTCTACAGTCTGGACTCTGCTGTTAGTGAGGGGAAGAGCTGTGTGTCTGTCTGCAGCCGCAGCACTGTTTGTATCACAGTTGTTTCAAACGAGTATCGTAAGCCTGCACTTCTAGAAAGCTCATCATACAGAGAAGACTCAGCCTGTGCAACTCAGGGCCCGTTTCAGGAACACCTGCTAGACTCAAGTTCTGATGCTCGGTGTGGATTTTTGTGGTTACAAACCTCCACATGAACCTAACTTATCAGAGTAGGAGGCCAATAAAAACCTTTAAAAGGTGCATTTTCTTTTCTTTAAGCATTTCCTGTGTGTAAGGGTCTCTGACTAGTCTGTGTGTGTTTGGTGTTTTCACAGGCAGTTCAAGCCCAAGAGGACTGAGATCGTCATTGACTTTAGTTCCATTAACTTCTCTGGAGCGCTGAACGGTGCAACCAAGTGAAAATGCAAATGACTCACCTCGGGGAGCTGTTGGATGAGGCAGTGAGTCAAAGGGACTTTGATGCCTCTCTTTGTGTTTGTCTTCTCGCCTCCTGCTTCGTCCAAAGGAAAACTCAAGGATAACCTGACTTTGGCATCTTAGATATTTTGATTTGCTGCTTTAACGTTTTTCTTTTAAAACTTCCTCTGGGTCGAGGAATTCATGAGGCTTATGAACAAACTGTAGTGCTTCATGGTTAAGTCTGTTGTGTTTGTTGTGTTTGGGGTTCCTGTGGCGACGTGTCAGAAATCTGTTTCTGTCGAGCTTCCAGGCTCCTCCTCCATGAAGATCACTTAACCTTTGTTCACATCCACAGCTGAGACTGAGAGATGCTGTCGTTACTGCTGGCACTCAGTATTTTATGACTACTTTCCTCCTCTCGACTGATGCCACCTCTACAATACTTTAATATTGTTAACACGAATTAGCTTCATGCAGCTGAGCCTCG